GAAACATAAAATTCAAAATAGATTATTTATTAATTTTGCTTCCGATGAATTATACTTTTACCATACCCAATAACAAGACTAAGAGCTGGATTTTGAAGTGCTTACTTATTGTGAATATCACAATTTTATAAGCCACATCGGTACAGGTATGTTTTTAGGAACGATAGCGACTAAATAACCATGAGTGTTTGAACAAATATGTATCTATATATTGATTATCGCCCAGAAATCTGCTCACAAAAGCATAAAAGCATTATTTTTAGTTTTCTGTTTCGCAAACAATAGATTTGCATCCGTATTCCTGACTACTGTATTACGTCTTCACAATATTTACTGAAATCTCGGTTCATCTATATGGTTAGCAAATTGTTTAAAACAGTATTCTACATAAAGCGAGCAAAAAAGAGCACATATACGCTTTGATGACAGGAAATAACAATTTAAGTTTTAAAGAATGCCTGCTTACTATGATTTTATTATGTGGTAGTTCACACAGATTAATTATCTATTCTAATAAATCAAATTTTGTATCTTAGGATAGCCAGCAGTTTTCCTGTGGTGCTGAATAAACTAATGATTCCTTTGTAATTGTTGAATTCTTGATTTCGAATTCTACATGCAGTACATTCGTTTATGGTTATCTAGTACTTCGTGATCCGATTACCTTATTTCTAGGATTCTTACTTCATACTATAATTCAAATAATCATAAATATCACATTGGCGTCGCGATGGAGCCTGTGATGGAATTGTTGAATATACATTCAGATTTTGATGCTTTTGAGGATTACTTTGAAAGGTTCGAAATCTGGGCTATGACCAAGGAAGATGATGAGAATGTTAATATTGTAGCTTATTAAAAACTCTGGCTTTACCAGAAAAGCCCATTTCGCTTCCCTGTACAGCTTTCAAGGAACTATTACTAGACTATGTTAAGCATGCAAATTTTGATTGCAGTAAAGGAGGGAAATTTGATAAAATGATTCATTAGGACATCAAAAATTCTATTACATCACGTCATCTCGATCCAGTGCATACTCAAGGTTATGCAGATATTAAGCCTTGTAATTCCGATTCTATTAAGTCCAGTGTTCCTAATATTCAGTTATCTTTATCAACGATTTCAAAAGACAGTGTAGGGTCATATAGCAGTTCAGAGTTAAGTGAAACTCAAAATTCTTGTGAGACAACAGTTTCTAATCAATCGACTTATCAGATTTCTCATGTTATTGTACCAGATATAACTTTTCCTGATGATTCACATATTTCTGATGAGATTTCTTGCAAATCTGAGGAAAGTATGTTGAGTGAGCCTAATCATGATCAAAAACCTGATGTAGTTTTGATAGATGCTGATTTTTTTAGTGATCCTCTACTCTGAAATGACATTCTCAATAAATTCGAGAAAACTATTTCAGAAGAGTCAAGGCTTGATGCCATATCAAATATTATTTGTCCTCATAATGCATTTGTTTCTTGTGGGAAACTTGTTCAATGCGAAGCACAAGTACTAAATGACCTCGATTTTGATTACAATTCGGGTGATTTCATATCAACTGCTGTTTATCCTTATCACAAAAACACTTCTAATGTTTACTCTAACTAATGTGAGAAATATGTTCTAAATAAAGCCACATCATTCATAAATTGGGGATATAAAGATCCAATATTATTTCGTGGGGGAGGGTTGTCTAAAAGTCTATGGTTCAAATTTTAGGTAGCGGCGGTTTCAGTACACAACCGACATGCTGATTGCACAATCCCGGGAAGCAGGTGATTCTGTTTCAATTTCAGTTGTTAGTTCTAATACTAATGAGTGCATTCTAGATAATAGAGTTTTTATCCACTACAATGTCGAACAGAAAAAGGACGAACTTAAGAACAAGACGTACAATCGACTACAGACACTTAAACTCCAATTTAAGCTGTGACGGATGTGGTGTGTGAATGAACTAATGATTCCTTTGTACTTGTTGAATTCTTGATTTCGAATTCTACATACAGTAAATTCGTTTGTGGCTATCTAGTACTTCTTGATTCGATTAACTTATTTCTGGGGTTCTTAGTTCATACTATAATTTAAATACTTACAAAAATCACATTTTCCCATACTTTTAAGCAAAAGCATTTTTTCTGATAGTTTAAAAGTAGTATTATATGAAATTTTATGAGACAAAAATTTGAATAAATCAAAAATAAACAATTCTTTTCATAATAAATCAAAGAATAAAAGCTATTATTGTTACCTTTGGAATGTTTTGAAATATGCTTTAAAACACTAAAAGTTATCGCTAAAATTACCTCAAAAAACAAAATAACATTTTTGTTATTGGCAAAAGTGCGAAAAGTTTCGTTGATAATGATTATTTCATCCCAAACAGGCATACGTAAATCTTGATATTTCGTATTGACCAGCTTTGTTTTGACCGGCAGTACGTAAGTCGGCTGTTCTTCCATAGACTTAGAGACTCTATTGCGTCAGCATAAAAACGTATGTATTTTACTTTTTGTCACATTTTATATAGTCTTCTGTTTCAGTATCCATAATGTGAATCCGAACAAATAAATGACATGTTGAGGGGGTCACTTTTAGCCGATCAGTTCTATAAATAATAATTTCAAGGATTCCATCTTGGCTACCAATCCCTTCATTTGTTTCAATACTCTTTTCACAAGAAACTAAATTAAATTTATGGAAATAGCTCTCAAACTTATGTACTTGCTTTTGGACTGTCAGGCTGCTTTTCATTAACCTTTCTCCTTGTAGCTTTTTTGGCACTATGGCGTGAATGAGAACTTTTATGTAGGAAAGCTTTAGTTTTAAGGAAACTCACTGTAAACTATTCTCCATTTCTTCCATTTCAAACGATTCATTTTTTATCCCAGACTAGTGAATACAAGTGACCGTTGAAGTACAAGTTACTTTTTGTTTCGGCATCTCCTCTTGAATCTTTATGATTTTAGATACGAATTAACATGTCTCCCACGGTTTTGTTACACTAGTAACGTGATTCAAAAAATTACTTGCAGATATGTATACTTTTAGAAATGTTAAACAACATTTGTTTTCTTTTTTCACTTTGATGATAAGCTAGTAGTAGTGATCGATTATTTTACTTTCAATTTATTAATTTATAGTACGGTGTTGTGGGGTTAAATTTCATTTTATAGGGGTTGTTTGATTCGGGATGCTCATCACAGACAGTCTTTAATTTTAAGGACTAGCTTAGTCGGCATCAAACCTCATGGGCATCACAGTCATATCCTGATAAGGGAGGTGTAAGGTGCTGCTCTTGCTGTAGATAGCCGGTTTCTTGTTCATAATATCATTTATCTCTTACATCATTCGATTTCACAGCCATTCGGCCACTACTGAATTCTTCCTTGTTTATTTTCTGAGTGTGGTTCTCGAAGAATTCTAAAAAACTAATCGCTTAGACCTATCGCATCAAAACCGTATTACTTATCATTGTAATGGTAATGCTATGAGTGCGTTTATTTTCTAACTTTGAATGCTCTTAGTATGTCTTGATTGTTCTTACACACGCATTTTTAGCATGGCATGACTGGTAATATAAAGATAGCTATAGTATGATGAGGTAGATTGAGGAAATGATGATGCATCAGATAGATTACTTTAGTTTTCCCAGGCTCAAGAGTCGTTACCGAAAAAACTGATTGATATAAAAGGCAAAGCCTACAGTTTTATCAAGGCTATTGGAAATCGAACTATTCTGGACAGCTTATAAGTTCCTCAAACGCCGACGCACGCCTCGACAACGTCTATTTTCATTTCGTAAGAAGCTCACCGTGAATAAATGTATTCTCATGCCATCCAGCATGTGCTTTGAGTTTCTCAAAAAAAATTCAAATCGGTATATATAATGGATTTTGCCAACAAAATAGCTGCTCATGACCTCGGTTGATCGGAAATTCATGTTGTCTAGCAATTGTTATATTTAGCTGTTGGCTCCTGTTTGGATCCGGATTATTCCGTCCTTATGTAGTGACCAATTTCCAGATCAATGAACTAACTTTCTGCAGGCATAAAACTACAACATTTGTAGCCGCATCAAATATTTGTGTCTAAACAGAGCAAAGCGTTTTCATAGCTGCAATGTTTTTTAGTCTTTGTTGATCAATACATATTTAATCGTTTTTCCTAATATATCTCCCTTTTATGGGTCGACCGAAGGTAAGGAGCAGATGGATAAGTAAAAATATGAACTTTCAGAAAACTTTTGAAAGACGTTTCGGTTAACAGTGCTGCTATTTTCTGAATGTTCCTCCTTGTTTTCTGTGCTTTTATTGGTTCTCAACTGTACGATAATTCAGGACGAACATACTATGACTGAGAAGACCTACATTGAAGATCGAGAGAATGCCAAACATGGTGGATGCGGGTGAACAGAACCGGGACGGCATAATTCTACGCAACCTCATATACACTGTACTAAATATATTACTTTATACCCATTCCAAGTGTATTCATAATAAGTCCTAAGTGCAACTGCTGGATACCACAATGGGACAAGTCAGCGAAAACAAAGATGTGTTTTCTACCTATGATGTAATAGATTTGGCAGTCACACCATTGCGTGTTCACAGTTTTTTCTCACTTACTCCTTGAATACGGCCTTCTTACGCGTTAAGTAAACTAAGTGTTTATACTTTTAAAAAATCTTATTTTAACGCTTTAATTGACGTCTTATCGTTTTCACGTTGAAACTAACCACCCTGCCGCCTTATAATGTGATATCTGCTGGTACCCAGAAGCCTTACTGCCCATGGACAAGCTCACTCACTCAACTACAAAATTTACATATCCTCAATCAACTGCTACACTGACCGATATTAATGCAATAGTGTAGCTAGATTATCAACCGTTGTACATAACTAAATGTCTTGAAACCCTACCGAAACAACAAGAATGGAGCTCGTAGAAATCAGTTAGTTTATACAAGCACTGTGGAAAAGATATTGGATATTGGATATTGTAGTCACATTCGAACGGTGCGTCTCCTCATATGCGTTCAAAAACAAACGAATGGCTTTTAAAGGAGATTTCCAACAGTAAAATTCAGACAAATCTGCCAAAACTCGATGGATCAGGCACTGATATATGCTACGTAAACTGTGAGGTAAATATGGTTTACACTGATTCATATCACTTTAGGATGACTTGGCCGTTCACAAAGACAAATTAAAGGAATTACGCACCTGTATAAAAAGGGCATTAACGACTACAAGGGTAGTCGGTGGACCTATAATTCTATTGATTGGACCCACGGGTTCTGGCAAAACTACCGCAGTTGAAGTTCTTTCCCGTTCTGTCTTTGATACAGTTAACGTTGTACAGTTTCTGGACGAAGGGATTGGTCATGATGAGTATACAGAAATCGAAAAGTTTGTTCTGTCTTCTGGAGTTTACGGTGGACAGTCAGTCATGTCTTCTGAGTCTGGGAAGTCACCAGAGTGCACCTCTCCGATAACAGTTATGATCCTAGAAGTTAGTGTTTTTAATTTTAATATTGTGGTTTGGTTTTGATGGTCTGATATTTCAGAAATGTGTGGCGTAATCTTTCCTTACATCAGCACCGTCTTCGCTGCTCAACTCTATCCGTCTACATGACTTTACTCTTAACTTCTTATCTTCTGTCTCATACAATCGTTTTATAGCTCCTTGTTTAATCTACTTGTATTACCACCTTTTTATCCGTATCTTGTGCTTATGAATTCCAATTATCCAATTATGTTGTGTTTTGCAAATACTAAGGACCGATATTTCCAGTTAAGGTGATTGTTCGGCTAATAATTTCCATCTGCTCGTGATTATATCGTATTTGTTTTGAAGCTATGCAAGCACATAGTGCTGTCAGATAATATGTCACCTTGTAAGGGATTAATGAATAGTTTCATTTGTGTATTTGGTCTATGGCTAAAGCAGTTAACGCAACAAGGAAAGCTTGGTTTCAGTTATTAAAGTTAATTATCGCTTTTTATGGACTACTGCTTTGATCAATAAGACGTTTAGGTTAATTCTCTGTAGTATAACAATTCATCATAAACATTTAGATTTAGTACGTATTCATTTGGTGTCAGTTGTAAAAACAATTCAACTGATTATAACATCCAGTATTTTTTCTTTTAAGATGTTCATTGGTTCTCAATCTAACAGTACACTTCTTTTTTGCTTTTAGAATCTTCCTACTGTTGTCAGTGAAAATCCTTCGCGCTTTCATAACCTCCTTCGTCTTCACAGTACTCGTGCGTGTGTAAATTGCTTATTGGTTCTTATTTTGTCCTCTTCAACATTCACTGAAAACGATTTGTGTGAAAGGATTATTTGTCCTCCTACCTTATGTAGTGAATTACTTATACAGCGCATAGAATTCAATCCCGTCGCACCAACTCTCGTAGTCAAGGCATTGAGTAGAATTGGGAATACTTTGGCTAAACAGGTGAGCTATATATATATATATATATATATATATATATATATATATATATATATATATATATATATATATATATATATATATATGACCAAATCGTTTCGTTCAGATGTACAGTAACTACTCTTGCTATCATAAGTACATGGGGAGTCTGGCAGTAATGTTATTCGACTAAAAAAGAAACTCCTGATTAATGGTAGGCAAATATTAGCTCATATACTTGATTTTTCGCTACGTGTCATTGTATAAGGACCTGACTATTTAAAACTAAGTAAATGGAACACGATTCGATCCTACAACTTTATGATCGGCGGTCAAATGTTTTAATCAATATACCACTTACATCTGCATCAATCGTTATCCATCGTACTTAGTGTTTTTCTTAGTGAATAGTCATCCATTTATCTTTGGAACTATCGAAATCCTCACTTAATACCCCCAAAATATTTGTGAATTGGAGCAGAACTACGAAATTCACAATTTCTAGGATAAACAAGGTTTACCGCTGAAAAATAATAGTTCTATGAGACTGTAAACCTGGATTATTTAAGCTGATTTGTGTATTGTATTTATTTATCTAAACATAAACGTGACACCAAATGTTTATGCACTACACTCCATCACTCGACTTGTGTGAGGCTGGGATACTGCCCAGGCACCTAGACCAAAGCAGGAGCTTTTTTAGGGGGCCACTCCTAGAGTGTATTTTATAGCTCGTTTTAGTATCTGATTTTCATTATTTATGTTCTATCAGGCTGTTTGGTGACTTGAATCAACTTACCTTTTAGTTAGCTCCTGCTGTGTTCTGTTTGCTACTTTACTTCCATCCAGCGGTCAAGCATATCTATCTGTTGTTTCGCCCCCAAATATCTCGGTACGTCCGGGGTTGGGGCGAGTCAACCCTCCCTTTCGAAATGCTCTCACATGGTCACGCGTATACGGCCACTGCTAGGGAAGGCCTACTCACCGCCTTCTCGCCACGGTGGTGTTCACGAGATTGAGAGGACGGGAATCGAGTGTCCGGCACTTCAACCGGGTTGGTGGATATGAAGAACCGACCTATGGGAGTTGGAAGACCCTAATTCCAAACCAATGGTGCACATGGACTTCAGGATCCTAAGGAAGCAAATGGTGTATGGACCAGTTGTCGGTCACCGGCTGTCATGGGACTGCATTTCCTGACGTTACTTAATTGTCTTGTGGATCAGCCCTTTAGGTCGAATGCTTGGGATGTGGTCCCCTAAGGAAACCACCTGCTTCGGTCTGGGCACCCGGGCGGTATCACAGCCCACTCACAAATCAAGTAACTTGTGTGGCGCATATGTATTCGGTGCCCCTTTGTACCAATATTTGTGTTCAAATAAATAATTAAATCTGGTGTTTCTAATGATTTTTGAACATATTTATGTTCAAACTGAAAAGTAGAGATGTTCTATGTGTGTATTCCAGAACTTGTGGTAACTTTCTACGGGTTATTCAATTGTTAAATTGAATACTGATAAGAGTATAGAGATGTGTTTTTAGCTTACTCACCTTTCGATAAACTTCTACTTCTGTTAATCACATTACAGTTTTCGATAATCTAGCAGTAAAATTTGATTCATTTGCGATTCCTTGTGAACGTTAGCCAAGATTTTAAATCGCAAAGTCCATCAAAAAATTGTCTGAAAAGTAGCGTCGTTATTTTAAATTTAAATCGCCATTTTTTAATCTTTTAATGATAGGTTTAAGAGTTGGAGTTTTAAATTAAAAATGAATTCCTTTAGGCTATAACAATTTAGTAGTGACACTTACCTAAGTCTGTTAAAACAACTCGAAATTACTATCATCCCATTCATCATGTTAAATGATCTAGCCAATTTTACCAAATGATAAGTCAAAATAAAAGCTTAATTGACTGATTCTGTCTGCATACATAAAATAATTGTATAGACATTTTTATAGTCTAATTATTGAAACCGAAGTGAATAATGTTTTATTGTCAAAAAGTTTCGATTAGTTGATATAATTATGTATGTCACTCCCGTGGCAACAATGTCTTATTCTGATCAACACCTTTACTCAACCCTCTTTTATGTCAACTACCAGAGTACTCTGAGTTAAGGTTTGAACTATAGTGTTTTGTACATATATGCGTTATACATGTAGCAAATGTCAAATCTTTTTGTGTCTCATAATCTTTGTCTCTGTTGTAAATTAAAAAAAATCTAGAACAGTTAAAATATTATCGTAATTCCACTTTCTAACTTGGTTATAAGCTTTAAAAAAATAGTTTGCAACTAATGTATGTTTATGGAGTAAAATGAATTGGTACTAATTTGTACGATTTGTTGTTTTGGTTTTATATAAACTGGTACTTCGTTATTTTCCACCATGAATATACAGATTCATTTTACACACTGCTTTGTAAATAAATCATCTTATGTTCGGTTTCCTTTAATAGCTTGGTTTAAAACTACCATCTCGTCAATTACTGCAGTCTATAGCGAATGACTGTTCTGGGGATATTCGATCTGCTGTTAATCAGCTTCATTTTCAGCTTACTTCAGGTACATTTATCACCAACTGTAACATGGCTTTGGTTTCCACACATTTGTATTATATACTCTTTGGCATCTGAAGCAGTGGAGATGCTGATTTTTATTCTTTCTTTGTTAAAATCTTTTGATGAATATTAAAGTAAAACGAATGTCCAGTTTATAAAACTACATTCTTTATAAATTGTGAGAAATTATTCTTATATTAATATATTTAGTTGTGTATAGCGAGACTGACAATATAAATTGCCAGAATAGCAGTTGAAGCAGAGTAATATGAATTCATTTAATTTCGTGGTAAGCAGATGAAGCGAACCCACAAAATAAAATGAATTCATAATATTCTACCTCAACGATTGTATTTGCTATATTTACAAAGGGAATCAACCAATCATATGAAACTTAAGTTGTTTGGAATGTTTTCACAACATTTTCAGTCACAATTTTGTTCCGTCTGACTACTTCTGCAACAGTCATGGAATTCCTTTAATGTACAGTAGCAAGAGTAAAGATGCTTTCCAGTCTGAGTTCATTTACATATCATTTGTGCATAGAATAACTGCTAAGCTGCTTTCCAGTTTCATTCAGAATCGTTCACAATGGTGCGGGTGCATTCACTCTTTGTCGCCCATCATCATAAGTCGTTAAATTACCCGACAACTTTATCTAACTGTTCTAATGAAGTATTGCCAGGTTGTACGTTTGGTTTCATAGACTCTCTCGTTAGTCTATCAAAAGCATTTTTCACTATTCATACCATTTAATCTTTATAGTCATGATGCCAACTTTTGATACGTTTGTTACTGATGAAGTTGTCAGTGAAGCAACATATCCCAATTTAAAAACATGTTTTAGTGTAGTATGACTATTTGTATTTTATTTAAGTCTTATCTGGAATATCCATTTGATAAAAGCTGTTATTTATGTTTCTTAATTAGGTATAGCTTTTGTAAAACAGCCTTATCTACCTCATTCATAGTAAAAATCTCTTAATAATGGTAGAAATATTTGGTCAGTTAGTGCTTAATTGGTAAATTAGTGAAACTGAAGTATTCAGTGTTAGATATCTTGTATAATTATGTTAACTCTTGAGTGTTTTTCCTAGCTGTTTTGTAATTAAATTTTCCATATGTATAGTTTTATAGTTAATATAATATTGCTTCAGTGTGTGCTCATGGAGGTTTGTTGAGTCAAATGAGTTTTCAGTTACTTTTAATTTAGGTTAGTGTGTTACCACCTGGGAATGTTTTCTTTATTAAGCTATAATCCCACCAAAGCCATTAATAATCGACTGTTTGAATTTTAACTATATGAGGTTGTATGTAATCGTGAAACCCAAAAGTTAGGTTCCTATTTGTATGGATTCTTACAGATAGTAAGTACAAAACTAGGAACAACACAACTGTTCACTATTTTCAGGTAGTATATTATTTTCCATTGGATGAAAGCTATTTTAAAATAATATCATTTCTTTATTCGTGACGAATAAATATACCTCGAATTTATGTAAAGTGAGTAAAAATTATTAATAATAATTGGGAAAGCTGTTTATGAAGGCGTTCTGTTTTTCCCAATTATGTACTTTTGGATGCACCTTATGTTACGGATCAAGTTTTATTAAACAATCATCGAAAACTATAGATCAGTGAATAACTGTTTTATTATAGTTTATAAATTCAATGCAATACATAGCCGTACGTTTATTATATGCAATACTAATGGGGATAGTTTTGATCTATTTTTATTTTTTGTTACAGAGAGAGGAAATTGGAATAATTCTACACTGCCACATTCTCATCGAGATGGAGTTTTATCATTATTTCGTACTATAGGTAAAATTCTCTATTGTAAAAGTAAGTTGAAATAGACTTTTATATAGTCTATTTTTGTATTGCTTGTTTGAATCTTCTCATAGATGTTTAGGAATGCGATTGTTTAGCAGGTATATCCAGCTGACTAGTCCCAAACAGGACGAAATGCTCATCCTGGATTCCACAGCTAGCCACCATCTATCTCTGCCTATAATCCTTTTATATTGTTTTTCAACAGCAAGAAAGAAAGTAATTTTTGTAAAGAACTTTATCATACTTAATAATTGGAAGCGTTTTTTCTTAAAAAAAGTTATTATATTCCACAGTTTTACTGGTACTTGAATAATTCGAATAATTTACATGAAAAAGTATAATTTTAATGGATATAAATTCTTAGTGTGTTTCATTTATTCATGTATTGTTTTGTTGTTTGTTCAACTACAATAAATGTAGTTTAAGAGCGTTTTCTATATATTTTGTGCTAATAAATGGAGTGATCTAGTGTATACTTAATTGGAATTGGCAATATATATAAACGTAAAAGTGACTTACTTACTTACTTACGCCTGTTACTCCTCGTGAAGGAGCATAGGCCGCTCACCAGCATTCTCCATCCAACCCTGTCCTGGGCAATCCTTTCTAGCTCCGTCCAGTTGTAATTCATCGTTTTCATATCTGCTTCTATTATCCGACGCAATGTGTTCTTTGGCCTTCCTCTTTTTCGCTTCCCTTCAGGATTCCAAGTTAGCGCTTGCCTCGTGATGCAGTTTGACGATTTGCGTAATGTATGTCCGATCCATTTCCATCGTCTTTTCCTAATTTCTTCTTCAGCTGGAAGTTGGTTTGTTCTCTCCCACAGAAGGCTATTGCTGATGGTATCCGGCCAATGGATGTTGAGTATCTTGCGTAGACAACTATTTATAAATACTTGTACCTTCTTGATGATGGTTGTTGTAGTTCTCCAAGTTTCAGCTCCATACAGTAGAACTGCCTTGACGTTGGTATTGAAGATTCTCACTTTGATATTGGTTGAAAGTTGTTTTGAGTTCCATATGTTCTTCAATTGTAGGAATGCTGTCCTTGCTTTGCCAATCCTTGCCTTTACGTCTGCATCTGAACCTCCTTGTTCATCGATGATGCTTCCTAGGTATGTGAAGGACTCTACATTTTCCAGAGTTTCGCCATCAAAAGTGATTGGATTGTTGTTTTCCGCTTTGAATTTGAGAACTTTGGTTTTCCCTTTGTGTATGCTGAGGCCTACTGATGCAGAGACTGCTGCTACACTGGCTGTCTTAATCTGCATCTGTTCGTGTGTACGTGATAGGAGGGCTAGGTCACCTGCGAAGTCTAAATCGTCTAATTGGTTCTGAGTTATCCACTGTATTCCCTGTTTTCTCTCAGATGTCGAGGTCTTCATAATCCAGTCGACCACCAGAAGAAAGAGGAAGGGAGAGAGTAAACAGCCTTGTCTGACTCCGGTCCTTACTTGGAATGCATCTGTCAGCTGTCCTCCATGCACGACTTTGCACTGTAGTCCGTCGTATGAGTTCCGGATAATGTTGACAATCTTCTCAGGAACTCCGTAGTGTCGAAGAAGTTTCCATAACGTCCTCCTATCCACACTGTCAAATGCCTTTTCATAATCAATGAAGTTGATGTATAGTGATGAGTTCCACTCAACTGATTGTTCGACGATGATCCGTAGTGTTGCAATTTGGTCTGTGCATGATCGATCCTTACGGAATCCAGCTTGTTGATCTCGAAGTTGGGCGTCTACTGCATCTTTCATCCGGTTCAGCAACACTCTGTTAAAGACCTTCCCTGGTATTGACAGCAGTGTAATGCCTCTATAGTTTTCACATTTGCTCAGATCTCCTTTCTTTGGAATCTTGACGAGGTGTCCTTCTTTCCAGTCCATCAAAAGTGACCCTCGTAAGTAAAAAATGACCGTAGTAGATGCATTATACATAATGTTTTTCATGATTAAATGAATTTTCTCGTTTACCAATTTTTTTCATTTTATCGCAATTGTTCCTAAGTTTGTAGTTTGATTTTGCCTTCACACGCAAATTACATCAATGTGGTATAAAGTATTTATATCTGTGTATATGTGCGAATTTCAATGCATTTCAACTTGTATTTTAGCTCATCGGTTTAATGTTTACAGATTTATTTCTTTCAGTTCGTGATTTTGTTTTAGCTTTCCATAACGGGCGTTAAAGTTGTTTTTTCGTACTGCTCCACTTTTCTTTCTTTGTGTTAATGCTAAGTGTATTAATGTGAACCGATGGACGTTTGCGTCATGGTGAATTATATGTAGGATTTATTTCTAATAAGCAATGAAACTGTCATGTCAACTTCCATAATAAACTTGCTTTTTTTTCCAAAATTTCTTATTCAGAGTTAAAATCAATTAAAACAGTCTTAGTTTAAATATAATAATAGTTAGTTCTAGATCAACGTAATGGAAAATATTGTAACATGATAAAACCAAGGAAAAGTATTGTAAGTGCAAAAACATATTAGAACTACAAAACAGGCAAATATAGCAATTCATGTAATAATTTCAGTTATCATTTTCTGAAAGAGATATAATAGATGAAGAATAAATACGTGAAAGTAATAAAGGAAAAGAAATGATTTCAAATGCAATCGCAAGTTAAACATGGAAAATATGGTTGAAAAGTAGCAAAACAAACATCGGTTAATGTAGAACTACTTGATTAACAACTGTGAGATGTGTAAAACAGATTTTTATCTTGTAACCGAATTTTGTCTTGATTAAAACATGATGAATTATTCCACACTTATTCCTAATTATTGTGTTTTTCCAATTTCTTTCATGATGTTGTAGTAATGTTTTGACGCAGTGGTTTTTCTCTTTACCGATTTTCTTTTGCCAGGAAAGCCAGTAAACAATGAACAAATTGTATCAAGCTTGGATAAAGAAGAAGGTAAATTACCACCACATTTAGTAACATGGAGGCGACCTCCACTCGAATTTAATCTTGAGGTAATCGCCTACTTATTAACACATTTGACTGTTAGTTCCCAATTAAGTTTCCATAGTATGAGCAGATTAACTATTAGTATAATTTCATTGAAATCACGAGCCGATCTAAGTTAGACCACCATTAAAAACATGTAAACACTGGACGGCCGTTTCATTCTAGATTGGGACTATTCAGCAGTGCGCATCCACAAGTTCACATGCAAAATTCAAACCCAGGATCTTTGGTCTCACGCGCGAACGATTAACCTTCAGACCATTGAGTTGGCATTCAACGCTGTTATTGTCTAATTTTAATCAATTTACGATATTGCGTGACAATTTTCGATAGTTTGCCTTACACCTGATAAGGATTAGCTCCACTGATCAGGGCTTCTCACTAGGACTCTGGAAATTCCTTTTTGAGGCTAGTTATTAATGAGCAAATGATAATTATTGGTAAGGAGTTGTGGAGACTGCATAGTTTCGTTGAAACTATGTATCCAATTACTTAATCGATTTTCGAAATTGACTAATGGTTTTCAAGGTAATTTTTGTTGTTGTCATAAGTACTAAATCAAGATATACCGTTGATAGTCAACGAAATCATTTAATGTTCAACTCAGCCATGTTGGAAGGCACGAGCTTTTTAGTTTGAGCTTTCGAGATAATAATAAATTGTAGTTAAAAATTATAGATGGGATTGGCACAAATGTGATTTCTCTACTTTTTCCCGTATATCTTAAGCTCACTAGTATTATTTCATACTAGTTATCTCTCGATGTTATTTGTTCCTTTCGAAATACACTTTGTTTATCAGATACTCCAAGTTAGGTCATAAATTTGTTTTACAGTATATGCAGCAAATAATTCCTCTTTCTTTCAAAATGCTCCCTATCTGTGGCAGTGTATGTGTTTCATCTCTGTTTCCATTGGATAAAATATCTCTTCAATTCCTCAAAAGTCAGGATCTTAAGCTAACTAATTGTTTAACAATTTATCGTTGCCACAGAAAAATTTTACATTCCGTGAATGAAAACAAATTTCGTGAGGTTGACTTTCGTAAGTGGGATAGCTAGTTGGTCTGGTATTCTAACGATCTCTGCTGATGTCCATGCATTCTGTCGCCTACTTATCGAATAAGCCATGGATCTATGGTGTAGCTTTTGGTGATTATTGATTCGACTTACGCTCATCTTGTTAGTTCCATCTCCTGGTGTGCTGACGAGAATTATAAAAAGTTGGTGGGTTACAACACTGTACTAGATTGTAAGTTACTTATGGTTGGCTAAGGAAACATGCAAGCTCATACATTCGGCTTCACTTGAAATATTGTTTAAACTAGGAGCTAAACAGAAGCACAAAGTATATGATACAATGGCAGTATGTCTTTTGACAAATGGTGGATAATAAGGTGATGCAACCAAAATAGCTATCCCTAAAACTACCGTAGTGTGACGACAAGATATTAGATAATTTATAGGTGCTTTTTACATTTATGTTACAAGTCTCGCGTATGAGCATAATCCAATTCAGTGTATACAGAATTTTTCTCATAGGGTTTTAAAAACTTAAATCATTAAGTAAATGCTCTTATCCAAGTGTTATTTCAGTTGGTATTTGTTTAAACGTGAAAATCGCCGTGATCTACTGATGATCTTCGGTATGAATTTAGAGTGCATATTATTATTCGATACTTTTCTCCTAGTTGTGATGCTGACCAATTTTATTTGTGGTAACATTTTCTCAAATAATATACTCTATATTATGTTTCGGAGTGTTGTTCTTGTCCTAGGAGATACTGGATTTATGTCATACAGACGGTGGACACATTGTCTCATGGCTTCATGAAAACTATCCTGACTTCTCCCCGAATATGACTGCATTGGAACTTGTTTCACAACAGTTTAGTTGGGCTGATGCATTTTTAACTGGTGGAATGAATTGGCAACTTGGTTTAACACCAGCTTCAGATTCTTTTGTTTCGCGAAAATTTAAGCGACCATATAACATTGCAAGTAAATACTATCCAGCTTTGACTACAGCACGAACAATTCTTCTAGCCGATGGAGTTGAAGATTTATCAGGTAGTAATTTTACTAGAAATATCAAAGCATTTCGTTCTTTCCGTCCACCTTCAACTTTAAATAGTTGGAAATTATGCAAACAGAAACTTGATGCGTTAGATGACATTTTCCTAACTTCTAATTCGTTATCACCGATTTGGCTAGTTGAACATATGATTGCAAGTCGTATTGATATGGTTTTGGATTATTTACCTATCATGTGGAAAGTCCTTGGAGAAGAATGGTTTTCTCAATTCAGTAAGCTTGTTTTAACTAATGTTACTGTATTTGCTATCTGGATAACGTTTTTTGGATGTAAACTACTTTATCATTATGATGTTATTAAATTATGTGCAACTCAGCTTAAAGTGGCTGTAAATCATTCTAAGACTGTCATATAACTAGACTCCAGATCCTTCTGGTTTTTGTTCTCTGGCTGTCCTCCCTTTCCACCATTTTATGTGTTTTCAATTGTTGGCCAATCCATTCGGCCTGTTGTTTACTTTTGGGCACCCCAGCAGCTTAAGTCAAATTTTATCTACGACTTCTGACAGAGCCCCCCAACTTTTGTAAACGTAGTTGAATTCCTACCGTTGTTACACTTTCCTTAAAACTTACCGGTTCCAGCTATGATCACATTCCTCGATAGTTTGGTGACCGTTTCTTGAAACTATTAGAGAATCATTTAACTTACTGGAAACGGTTATATCACTGGGCAAGTGTATTTCTTGATCTATCCATATGAGATGCGGTCTGTTCCCATCTGTATGACGAGGCAAAGAAGTTACAGTATATCTCAGGCTGTTGACTGTTTGACTTCTGAGAACATTCCCAGTCATATCTTTAACGTTATGTTTGTCTGTTCAACGAAACCATTACATTTAGAATATTATAGTATTGTTCTTATTTTCTTTAGTCTTAGTAATTGGGACGATTCCTCTGTTGATACGTTTCTAAATCTTATCCTTGGTCTAAATATAACTGTCGTAACATCTCTTATTGGGTAATCTAGTAATCAAGTAAATCCCTTGTCACCAAGCCTTGCAGAGTATTTTGATTAATCTACCATGACTAGTGTATGCTTGTTTCCTGTGTAGCTTCTCATGGTGGTCGAACGAGCTGCTAATTTTACAAGTAATCAGGTCAGTTGGCTATGATGGTACTGTATAGATCTAACTACCCAGTTTTTAATTCGCTTGTAGTACGGTTATTGTGGGTAATTCTCAATAAAGTTGCATATAACTGGTTTTTTCCCTTCCTATTCAGATCTATGGGCGCTTGCATTTAATTTGCTATAGGTCAGCTCACACAGATGAGTTATGTACTATCTATTACACTATGATAGATTTACTGCGCTCAAAACTCCCCGGCTTTTTTTATCAGTTGACGAGTTCAGTATTCATTTATTTTAACACGTAGATATTGGTATAAGGAGGCACCAAATACATATGCACCACACAAATCAAAGGAGATTTGTGTGAGGGCTGTGATACTGCCCAGGCGCCCAAACCGAAGCAGGTGGTTTTCTTAGGTGGCCACACCCGGAGCCTTCGACCTGGAGATCTGATCCACAAGGCAGTGGAGTAATATCAGGAGATGCAGTCCCATTGAAGCTGGTGACCAACAATTGGTTCATACACCACTTGTTCTTCCAGGATACTGGACCCCATGTGCATCATTGGTTTGGAATCAGGGTTTTCCAACTCCTCTAGGTGGACTCTCCATGTCCACCAACCCGGTTAAAGCCCCGGACATTCACTTTTCGTCCTCTCATTTTCGTTAACAACAGTAATGCCACGAGAGGGCATTGAGTAAGATTTCCCTGACGGAGGCTACATACGCGTGGCCATGTGAGAGCATTTTTTGAGGGGGAGCGGACTCTCCCCACTCTCGACCGTACCAGGACATTTGGAGGCTGACGAGTTCAGTGTTGTGTTTGAATCTCTTAAAACTTCGTGCTTTGAATACATTATCAAGTATATAGGTTTTATCTTTTTACCAGATATCTCAGACGTTCTATTATCAATGAAACGAAACATTGAAAGAGTCAGAAATTGAGTCTTAATTTTGTATTGTTATCTTATTACTGATTCTAAATGGAAGTGTACTTAGTTGTATTCAACAGATGATACAATTTAAATTATGCGTTATATAGTAATCAAGCTAATATAAACACATAGTTTACTACAGTATTTCTTAACTTCAACTAACCCACGAAATTGAACGACACATCCATCATTGTTTTCAGTGAGTTACTATCTCACAACAGACCTGGTTTAAATCCATTAGTCATTGCTTCTCACTAGAACTCCAGGAAATACCTCTTGAAGCCAGTCACTAGTGAGTATATGTTGATTCATATCAGTAAGGGGTTTTGTGGATATTATAGTAATTTTAATCATCACTTAATTGAACATTTAACATTCTATGATCGATATCAATTATCTAATGTTATTTGATTGATATTATCATGTTCGAATAACTATTCACTATTTGTTTTTATAAGAAAATTTTCATTGCTTTAATATTTAATCTGTTTTGTTTTATTACTTCAATGTATTATTATTATTATTGCTATTTTAGGCAGTTATGAATTGATAGCATCATTGTGTAATTTTTCACATAAAACAGTTGGATATAATTCGTCTTCATCCACTTCAAGTAATTCATATAATATTAACAAGTATCATGTTAATAATAATAAGTTTAATTGTGATGATGAAAATATTGATTGGTATTGTCCACCAGATGCTCATAACGAAGGGAATAACTATGATATTAATGAAAATTTTTCAGATGAAGAAAATATCAGAGTAGTATGAATATATCTATATAGGAACCTGGTACTCTATCAGCATTTATACTATGTATAATTACTAACTTTTTTGTATGCATTTATCCCGATTTTATAACATTTTTGTATTAAATGATTATTATTGTTGTTTACTTTTTTTCTCTATTGTATTATTTTTCATGTAAATTACTTTATAGAAATTTCTTATTTTAACTCTTATTTGAAAATGAAATTCATTCAATTGGTTTATAAAATCTTTTTTTAGTTTTCTTTTTTGTTATCATTTTCTGTTACTAATGTATAATGTTCATCAACTAAGTAAGTATATATTTAGAAACTTGGTTATATGTTAAATGATTGATATACTATCTAAATGTCAAGAAAAAGTCGAAGCTGTTTGATTGATAAGTATTCAAACTTGTAATTTATTATTAGTCGGAAGTTGTTTATTTAAAACAGGTTTACTTACTGGTCAGATTAATAAATCCATTTTGCTTTAGTACATAAATGTATAGTGTTCAATGACATGTATTTAATTTTAACTTGATATGTGAGTTTTTGTAACCAGTATCTACTACAGAATACAAAATATCTCTATTGATATTCCGTAGAAAAGGTCAAATAAGTTACGAGTGAGAGGTTTGAAAAAGATAAAGAAATATCTTAGTGCTGATTGATAAACGATGCGTTACAATAATCATAAGTTACGTTTATTAACATCTATTGACAAAAAAATAACGGTGTTTTTATATAAATGGTAAAAAATTTGATTAACAGAAATTTAAGCGAACTTATTAAAGTGAAGGTAAATTTCAAGTCATGATCAGTAACAAATAACATTCAATTGATCTTATTTCTTTCAAAGATTCAGCTTCCCAAATAATTTCTCTTTATCACCTCAGTCAGAATATGAAAGCTTTCTAGAGTCTTTACTTTTTCCTCACTCATTTAAAAAATACATCTACAAGCGTTCGTTTATAGTAACATCGCATTCATTAGAGTATTTTACTATCTAGCCTATTATGTTATAAGCTCACTGTAATACGTATTGGTCTTTAGGCTTGTGATCTCAGGTTTCTCATTGATCGGTACATCGGATTTTGTTGAAATGTTTGTTAATAACGGCGATAAATAATGCTTCGATCTTAATATTAATTGTACACAATATATCAAGATTTCCTCACTATATTTCATGTTCACATGAGTGAATATAAGGGGAAGTGTTCTGAAAATTCTATGTGCATTCAAATATTCTTCGTATACGTTTAGGTTGATGCTTACTAGTCGTCTATCCTGTCGACACGTAATGTTGACAGTAAGAAGAGTAAATTCATGAAACTAAATGTTTATGTAGACGTAACATCACCTTTAGTCTAGTAGTAGGTTCATGATAAGTTTTGCTAATTGAATGCTATATTCGGCTCCTAAGCTATTTTCGTAACCCCCAAGCTAGAACTACACAGCGACCTGAACACGAGAGAAAATGCGCAAAATATGCGAGAAGCAATTTACTCCAAATTTTCGTTTTAGTACGGAAGATATAGGGTTTTTGTAGTATTTTAGATGTCCTTGAGTTTCCCGAAATTTTTGGGATGCTACTGAACATAGTAGCAGTGTAGTAATCAACCAATCAGGAACTACATGTCACTTTTCACTTTCTTGATGTTTTTGGCTAAACTTCTAGTGAAGGCTGATTAGATAAAATGCTTCTTAGTGTTTCCTGAACCTTTCTTGGCATTTGCGAGTTTTCTGAATCTTTTCAACAGTTCTTAATTCGTAGGAGTAGTTTTTGGCAAAAATTACTTAGTGATTAGTAATACTCGTAGCTGTGCCTCATAAGTTTCTTTACTAGTTTTCCTAAATAATAGGATTCTTATTTTGCTTGGAACAGCTAAATGAATTCATTGTTCCTAAAAGAGATGGGGTGCTTCAAAGTCTAGAGCATGAATTTTTGAGTGTAGTTCAAAACATCGTTTCATGACAGTTGCGAATGGAGGTTGCCAAAAATAATTAGTAAATAAACAGTAATTTATTGACCGTAAATAGAAAATTTATATATTGATCTATGATTGCATAAATAAATACACCATTAGTTTGATAAACTTCCACTTTATTTGGTTAGAATATAATTAATTACTTAATAACCTACTTTAAATTATTTATTTAGACATGAGTATATACATAAGTCATAACTTACATTATCAATCTGAAGTGATAATCCATTGAGAAATAAATGTTATCCCATGAAAATACCAGTTCAAATCTGCTAATGTCAGACGTTCTCTGCATGTGTTCTTTAAAAAATCTGTTTAGCTTTTGGTCTGATTCATGAGATTTATTTTCTCACCAAGTAAATAGAGACGACAGTTTGATTAAGTTACAACATAACTTGGTAATTCTACACACAACGATAATTTCATAAACTAGGATAGAATGTTTGGTTTAATCTAAACATACCTATCTGGTTAGTAAGAATTTCCCCATTGAAAAGTCAAAACAAATATAGCCTACAAATATATCATATCTTACGATGAAAGTAACATAAGCAAATTGTGTAATCGACAAAAATTTAGTTGAAATTCATTAAAATCACTAAATTTGATGGATACAAATAATAATTGTATTACAATTTCACTTCTAGCTCACAATCCAAATAGATATTAAAGAAATATTAGCCAGATATAGAAAAGCTAACAGTAAGAATTTAATGCAGCGACTAGATCGCTTGATTTCTCAACTGCAATTGTCAACTAAGTCCATATGGCTGCCTGAAAGTACGGATTATGCAAGAATATAAAGTATATTGTAAAAATATAGAGTTGCTTGAAACATAGTGGTTATCTATTTTTAATAAATACTTAATTTAGAAAAAGACGAGTGATCGTAAAGAATATTTACTCTGACATAAGTTACTTAGGATCTAACGTATCGTCTAAAAACTTCAGGAATCTAATACAATAACATTAATTATTGGATTAACATATCAGTGCACATCGAAAACGATACACCCTTTTGATTCATTTTGACTTTCCTATTACCGTTTAAGACTATGATTGATCAATCTCTTTTGGAATATGTGCATTCCATGCGGTTCGCTTCAATATTTCCAGTAATGTAATGCGTATCCTGCATTCCACTGCTAGTTAACATCAATCTCTGCTTAAAGAGATATACCTTTTGTTTTTCTAAATCTTCCAAAGAAATTTTAGAAGAGTTTTCTGAATTCATTACTTTGTAATTTGCCATCAAGACAGAACAAAGTCAATCAATTCGAATACGCCCTTATGAAAACAGTCCAGGTTAATAGGCCAATAATTAACAAGGGGAAAATGTCATTCAAGAAGAATGAATTAAACTGAATGAGCTAGAATAACTCATGTAGGCTTATGTTTTATGTTGTTATAAGAATTCGGTAAACTCATCTACTCTTTAGTAGGGATATGGTTGATGTGTGCTTAAATACTTTTATAGATTTTCTAGAATTCAGAAGCATTGCAATAAGCATGTCTAGCTTCAACTGAATCATGATTTCAACCTGTGAAATTTCTAAAATCTCCACAAAACCCATTCTGATAATAATCAACTGCTCACTAGTAACTGACTTCAGGAAAAACTCCCGAAGTTCTAGTAAGAAGCCGTTACCAGTGGAGTTCAACCAGGTCTGTTGTGAGATAGGAACTCACTGAAGACAATGGTGTACGGTGGCGCAACTTCGTGGATTGGTTGAAGTTAGACATTAACACCGTAGGATGCCGGCTCAGTGGTCTAATGGTTAAGTGCTCGCGCGCGAAGCCAGTAGGTCCTGGGTTCGAGCCCCGCGTGGTGCGGGGTCGTGGGTGCGCACTGCTGAGGAGTCCCATACTAGGATGAAACGGCCGTCCAGTGCTTCCAGGTTTTCAATGGTGGTCTAGCTTCAACTGACTCATGATTTCAATCTGTGTAATATTTATTGGCTGCAATACTATATAATAATTTGCCTAATATATGGATGGCATGGCATTAATTAATATGTATAACGAACGAACATAGTTTTAATTTTGTGACATATGTCCTATTGAAAATTGTACTTATTATCATTTAGATTATAATTAGTTCAAATTGCAATGTAATTATGTTGCTATTATAAAATCGGAAATGTCACAAGCTTTAAGTATATTTATGTCAAGAGCTATCATAACACAACTGACAATTATCTCATCATTCTTTTGCTTAAAATATTCCTACCTCAACAACTCATTATTCTAATGCTTGATAGATATATTTGTTATTATTATGAATATGGAAATACTAATTGTTGAAGGGATAAGAGAAAGTGTTTAAAAATATAAAGGTTTATAATAAGAAGTTCAAAGTAGAATAAGCTTAATCGAATACATAATATACAACAGCAACTTAGTCAGTTGCTAAACAATAACCAATGTTAAATTGTTCATCTCTGATATGTTAGAAAAGAATTAACCTTAATAGTCAAGCCTTAATTTGTTGGCCTGTGAACAACTAACGTAACTGAGTTTCTCTAATTCCTTGTATCATCTAATCTTGTTTATTTCCATGTTAATATTTTTCATATATGAATGTATTGTAGTCATTAAATGATCTATTCTTGACTTTAATCTCGGTCCACTCAAGAGCTTGGGTCAATAATTCGGTTCCTCCAGGATGCTTCACTTAGTCTAGTAGCACCATTGTAAATCATCAGTTAATTAAAAAACGTTTCATAACAACCCTACAGTAATAATAGCATTTAAATGGTGACATTGTTTTCTGTGAGCCGAAAATCAAAAGGTGTGATCATCACTAACTATTATAATCAATTCTTTTAAAATATCAAATGTGTGGATGAGGTTACAAGCTCTCTATATTTGACCATTTTTATAATGGTAATACTTATGGACATAGTAAAACTTCGGGGAATTCAGGAAATATTGAAGGTTGTTTATGGAGTTAATACAACGACGATAACAGATCTTCGTAAAGTGATTTAATGTTCCTGTATGAGTTATGAATACTCCAACAATTATAAAAAAAACTAGGACCATTGTCAATCTTCTTCTTACTTGCCCACGTATTTATTCGTATTTAGCAGTTGGTTCTATTTTGAATTAATTTCGATTAGTGTTATCCAGATTTTTTCAAATAAAAACAAGTATCAGAAGGGGTTTGTTGAGATTTTAGAAATTTCACAGATAGAAATCACGAGTCAGTTGAAGCCAGGTCACCATGGAAAACCTGGAAGCACTGGACGGCCGTTTCGTCCTAGTATGGGACTCCTCAGTAGTGCGCATCCACGACCACGCACCTCACGGGATTCGAACATAGTATGCATCCACGATCCGGCTGTCCAGTGCTTCCAGGTTTTTCATTGTGACTTAGCTTCCATTGACTCACGATTTCAAGTATTGAAATGACTAAAATCTCCACAAACTCCTGATAATAATCAACTGCTCACTAGTGACTGACTTCAAGAGATACTCCTGGAGTTCTAGTGGGAAGCCGTTACCAGT